CACACACACATACACATACACACACCAGTTAGGGCTACCAAATTAATTCAGCAAAGTTGCTAGACACAAAATTCACATGTAAAAATCAGTTGTGTTTTAATACATTAACAACTGAGCAAATTGAAGAGGAAATTTAAAAAGCAATTCTATTTACAACAGCATATAAAAGAAGAATTAGGAGTAAACTTGACCAAAGAGGCCAAAAACTGATATGCTGGAAACCACACAAACTGTTGAAAGATATTAACTAAGATCTAAATAAATGAAAAAAAATCTGGTGTTCATGGATAAGAAGGCTTAAAATTAAGATGTCAATTCTATCCAAAGTGATTTACAATTCAATGTAACTCCTATTAAAACCCCAACGACATTTCTCTGTTCATGGATGACACGATCTTATATGTAAGAAAATGCCCCAAAGTTACACACACACACTCTCACTCGTTAGAACAAATTAATTCATCAAAGTTGCTAGACACAAAATTCACATGTAAAAATCAGTGTTTCAATACATTAGCAAATGATATTATACTCAATATCATACTCTATTTCTTGGAGAAATAGAAGAACCCATCCTAAAAGTCACATGGAATCTTAAGAGACCCTGAACACTCAAAACAATCTTGAAAAAGAACAAAGTTGGAAGACTCACACATTTTGATTTCAAAAGTTACAACAAAGGTACAGTAATCAAAACACCGTGGTATTGAAATAAGGACAGATACACAGACAAATGGAATAAAACAGAAAGCCCAGAAATAAAATTTTACTTTTAACAAGCATGCCAAGATCATTCAATGAAGGATAGTCTTTTCAACAAATAGTGCTGAGAAAACCGGATATCCAATTCAAAAGAATGAAGCTGGACCCTTACCTTATACCATGTACAAAAATTAACTTAAAATGAATCAAAGATTTAAACCTAAGAGCTAAACCTATAAAACTCTTAGAAGAAAGCATAGGTAAGAAGCATCATGATTTGGTAATGATACCTTGGATATGACACAAAAAACACAAGCAACAGAAGAAATAATAACTTGGTTTTCATAAAATTAAAAATTTTTGTGCAACAAAGGACACTATCAAGAAAATGGGACACAATCCACAAAATGGAAGAAAATACAGCCAGCCTTGGAACGAGTTTGATCTGAACAATTCCACTTATGTGCAAATTTCTTTTCACCTCTGCCAGCCCTGACTGGAAACAGCAAAGAGACAAGACCAACTCCTCTTCTTCTTCAGCCTATTCAACAGGAAGACGATTGGCGTGAAGACTTGTATAATGATCCATGTTCAGTTAACAAATAGTAAATATATTTTCTCCTCATGATTTTTAATAACACTTCCCTTTCTCTAGCTTACTTTAAGAACATGGTATCTAATACATATACAAAATACATGTTAGCTAACTGTTTATATATTATCAAGTCTTCTAATCAATAGTAGGTTGTTAGTAGTTAAGTTTTGTGGAAGTCAAAAGTTAAATGCATGCTGAGTGTGGAGACTCATGCCTGTAATCTCAGCACTCTGGGAGGCTGAGGGAGGAGGACTATTTAAGACCAGGAGTTCAAAACCAACCTGGCCAATATAGCAAGACCCTGTCTACAAAAATTAAAAAAAAAAAAAAATAGCCAGATGTGGTGCATTCCTGTAGTCTTAGCTACTTGGGAGGCTGAGATAGGACACCACTTCAGTCCAGGAGTTCTAGGCTGCAGTAAGTTATGATCTTGCTACTGGACTCCAGCCTAGGCAACACTGCTGGACCTTGTCTCAAAAAAAATAAATAAAAGTTACACACAGATTTTTGACTGCACAGAGCTTGGTATCCATCACTGCTGTGGTGGTCAAGGATCAACTGTATTTGTAAGTCATATATCTCGTAACAATTTAATGTCTAGAATATACAAAAGCTCCTACAATCCAACAACAAAATAAACAACCCAATTAAACAAAATAGACAAAGGGCTGGGCATGGTGGATCCTGCCTGTAATCCCAGCACTGTTGGAGGCCAAGGTGGGAGGATCACTTTAGCCCAGGAGTTCAAGGCCAGCCTGGGTTACCTACCCAGACCCTGTGTCTACAATATAATAATTAGGCAGGCATGGTGATGTGTGCCTGCAGTACTAGCAACATGGGAGGCTGAGGCTACAGGATCCCTTGAGGCTAGGAGATTGAGGCTGCAGTGAGCTTATAATCACGCCACTGCATTCTAGCCTGGGCAACAAAGTAAAATCCTGTGTTTAAAAAATAAAACATGATTTTTAAAAGTTTTAAAATTTTTAAAAAATAAATGGATAAATGACTGGAATGGCTATTTCTTCAAAGATACGCAAATGGCCAATAAATAAGGACATGTAAAGATGTTCAGTATCACCAGCTGTTAGGGAAATGCAGATCAAAATCACAAAGTGATACCACTTCACACGTATTAAGAATGCTATTATTCAAAAGAAGACATTTATGCGGCCAACAAACATATGAAAAAAAGCTCATCATAACTGCTCTTTGGAGAAATGCAAATCAAAACCACAATGAGCAGTCATTACAGAAATACAAATCAAAACGACCACGGCAGTCATTAAAAGGTGAGGAAACAACAGATGCTAAAGAAGATGTGGTGAAACAGGAATGCTTTTATGCTATTTGTGGGAGTGTAAATTAGTTCAACCATTGTGGAAGACAGTGTGGCAATTCCTCAAGGATCTAGAACCAGAAATACCATTTGACCCAGCAATCCCATTACTGAGTACATACCCAAAGAATTATAAATCATTCTACTATAAAGACACATGCACACACGTTTATTGCAGCACTATTCACAATAGCAAAGACTTGGAACTAACCCAAATGCCCATGAATGATAGATTGGATAAAGAAAATGCAGCATATATACACCATGGAATACTTGGCAGCCATAAAAAACTATGACTTCATGTCGTTTGCAGGGACATGGATGGAGCTAGAAACCATCACTCTCAGCAAACTGATACAAGAACTCAGAAAACCAAACATGGCATGTTCTTACTCCTTAGTGGGAGTTGAACAATAAGAACACATGGACACAGGGAGAGGAACACTACACACCAGGGCCTTATGGGGGTTTGGGGGCTAGGGGAGGGATAGCACTAGGAGAAATATCTAATGTAGATGACAGGTTGATGGGTGCAGCAAACCACCATACCACATGTATACCTATGTAACAAACCAGCACGTTCTGCACATGCATCCCAGAATTTAAAGTATAATAATTTTTTTAAAAGAATGCTATTAAAAAAAGAAAAGAAAAAAACAAATGTTTGTGAGGATGTGGAGAAATTGGAACCTTGTGCATTGCTGGTAGGAATGTAAAACTGCAGCTGCCGTGGAAAACAGTTTGGCAGTTCCCCAAAAAGCTAAACATAAAATTACCATATAATCCAGCAATGACTCCTAGGTATAATACATATCAGAGGAACTGAAAGCAGAGACCCAAATGGATATGATACTTTTTTATGCCAGTGTTCATAGCAGCATTATTCACATGGGCCAAAAGGTGAAAACAATCCAAATGGCCATCAATAGATGAATGGATAAACAAAACGTAGTATAACCACACACGAAGTATTATTCAGCCATATAAAGGAATAAAATTCTGACACATTCTAGATAATAGATGAACCTTGAAAACATTAAGTTGAAGTGAAAGAAGCAGGATACAAAAGGAAAGTGTATATGATTTCACTTAGGAGGTACCTAGAATAGGCAAATTCATAGAGACAGAAAGTAGAACAGAAGTCATCAGGGACTAAGGGAGAAGAAATGGTACGTGATTGTTTAATAGGTACAGGGCTTTTGTTTGAGATAAATAAAAAGCTCTGGAAATGTATACACAACAATTAATGTCCTTAATGGCACCTAATGGTACACTGAACTATTAAAAACTATAAAATTATATTATGTATATTTTACCATAAAAGACACTGTAAAAAAATCAACAAAAGAAATAAATGCAAATCCTTAGATAAGCAGCTTCTACAACTCATTTGAGGAGCCACTACAGTGTGATACAGTGCTTGAGATGACAGGTTCTGAAGCTGCACAACCTAGGTCAATCCTGGCTCTACCCTTTCAGAGTTGTGTGGCCTTAGGCAAGATGCTTCATCTCTGTGGTTAGGGTCTCCAGACATTTAAATGGAGACAATAGTGTCTTTCTCACAGGATTGTTGTGAAGATTAATGAGTTAATTCACTTAAAGTCTTGAGGGCCTTATGATGAGTTAAATCACATAAAGCACCCAGACGTCAGTAAGGATGAACTATTATTGTTACTATCTAAACACATCAGTCATACATCCAAATTTCAATACAAAATGCCTTTAATCTGTGTCTATTTTGGTGTTCAAATTCAAAAAACATCTAATAATGATCAGTAAATTTTCAGATGTACAGGTTAGAAAAAAGTTTATTATATTTTTCTCTTTTTGAGACAGAGTCTCCACTCTGTTGCCCAGGATGGAGTTCAGTGGTGCAATCTCAGTTCACTGCAGCCTTTCCCTCCTGGGTTCAAGCAATTCTCCTGCCTCAGCATCCCATGTAGCTGGGACTATAGGCACCTGCCACCATACCTGGCTAATTTTTTGTATTCTTAGGAGAGATGGGGTTTCACCATGTTAGCCAGGATGGTCTTGACCTCCTGACCTCATGATCTGCCTGCCTCAGCCTCCCAAAGGCTTATCATTATATTTCTATTTGCTAGCTCTGTATGCTTTCCTAGTCTCCAGATTTCAGAAAGTAGCAAGAAACATTTATACATTAATTATCCTTCATTGTTCTTTCAATTTATGACAAATCATGTGAACTTGTTTGAAGTTGCAACTACTAAGAAATTTAAATGTATAGAAGATTGACAGTGGTATGTTTGCTCTAACTAAAATTGACAGTAGACATTCATTCTTGTTATACATGTCTAATTAAAAATTTTTTTAAAAATATTTCATTTCAAAAACGTATTACATACTTACCAAATGAAGATAGAAATCTCCAGGACTATTTATATAACAAACCGTTGCTGAAACATCTGTCATTTCTTTAGGCAAAATAGGTGGATGATAGTGTAAAGTAGTATCTTTTTCAAAATGACTTCTTAGTGATTGTGACTTAAACCTAATTAAAAGCATAATGAAAAGTGTAAGGAGGGTCTCACTCTTGTCACACAGACTGGAGTGCAGCGGTGCACTCATGGCTCACTGCAGCCTCCACCCTCCTGAGCTCAAGGCAATCCTCCCAATTCAGTCTCCCAAGCAGCTGGTACCGCAGGTGCATGCCACCACACCTGGCTAATTTTTGTATCTTTTGTAGAGACAGGGTCTCCCTACATTGCCCAGGTGGACCCCGAACTCCTGGGCTCAAGCAAGCCTCCTGCCTTGGCCTCCCAAAGTGCTAGGATACAGGTATCAAGCCACCATATCTCGTCAAGCCATTTTCTTAGTCTCTCTTCTTTCTGTGACTTGATCTAAAGAAAGGATTTGTACATGTACTGACTTATTTACCAAAAGTATTCAACTTCCAATTTCTTTCTTCTAACATTTCTTCATATTGTCTTCAATTATCAAACCAGGTTAAATAAGATATCAAGTCTCAAAACTTTAGAGCTGCGCTTTCACATCGTACACAGAATTAAAGCTGCTTCTATTCTGTTACATTGATATCTGTGGTCTGTGGTAGCAGTTCGTATTGTCAGCTGAAGAGCGTCTGTCGCCCCTTCCAGCTCCAATACTACATTTATTTTTCTAGAATGGAACCTGCTAGGGTCACTTCTAGAGTCACTGAATCACTCAGGGTAAAAATTAGAACCTTTGACTACCTCTATGGTTACTTAAGTCATCAGAAATGTTGGACAGGCTGGGTACTGTGGCTCATGCCTGTAAGCCCAGCACTTTGGGAGGCCAAAGCAGGCAGATCACTTGAGGTCAGGAGTTCAAGACCAGCCTGGCCAACATGGCAAAACGCCATCTCCACTAAAAATACAAAAATTAGCCGGAGTGGTGGTATACGCCTATAATCCCAGCTACTTGGAAGGCTGAGGCTTGAGAATTGTTTGAACCTAGGAGGCAGAGGTTTCAGTGAGCTGAGACCATGCTATTGCACCCCAGCCTGGGTGATTGAATGAGACTGTCTCAAAAACTCAAACAAACAAACAAAAAAGAAACAACGGACAAAGAAACTTTAAATATCTATTTTAGATTCATACATTAAATATAGGGTAGTGATCATGAACTTATTCCAAAGTCTACAAAATTTAAGTTAGGAACAGTTAATCTATAATTCTTGAAACCCTCATACAGGTGCTTATAAAGTCAAAGAGTCCAAAAGATGTTAGGTTATTTACACATATTTTATATTTTGAGCTACCTTAATTTCTCTAATTTTATTTTTTCTTTATAGACAAAGTCTCACTCTGTCACCAAACTTAGAGTACAGTGGCAAGACCATAGCTCAAACTCCTGGGTTCAAGCAAACTTCCCACCTCAGCTCCTGATCTGAGAAGCTGGAACTACAGGTACATGCCATCATCCCTGATTAATTTCTTTTTGCATTTCTTTGTAGAGATGAGGTCTAGCTATGTTGCCCCAGCTGGTCTCAAAATCATGACCCCAAGCAATCCTCCCTCCTGGGCCTCCCACAGCGCTGGACTGACAGTTGTGAGCCACCCTGCTCAGCCTATTTTCTTAAATCCAATTATCTGAATTCAGTTTTCACAAACAACTGTACTTAGAAAAGTCTAACAGCAATATTTTTCACTTCTTCAGGTCTTTAAGGTTTACTTAAAGACATGGTTTTTAAAGGCAAAATCTACTTCTCTTATGTATAGCTGTAATCTCAAAGAATATTTAAGTTTCATTAAGTTACTTACTTTGCTAGTTCCATAAAAACTAGTGCATCTCTAAGAGACACAGGCATATCACTGCTTATTTTATTTGTTGGTGGTTTCTGCAGATCTACAATAAGCACACCATCTTCTTCTCTAAAAACTTTCATTAAAACAGACTTGTTATTTACCATTTTCAAAAATTCCACTTTAGCCTCCTGTTCCCAGCCTTCATTCTGTGCAAAAAAGCAAAATTTCATAGTAATGAGTAATTATAAGTATCTCTAATGTTACAATGGTCTGGATTTAGGTTTGTACCAACCACAGATCCAACTGTGAGCAAGGACACCGAACCAACCAGACATTAAGAAACAGGGCCACAAACCCAAGGGCAGTCTTTATGAATGTACAATGTATGTATATCTTCACTTTATATATTCTCAAGGTTTTACTTTATAATTTAGTTTCACTTTTGAATATTAATATGAAGAATGAGAATATTTTCATTCTCAAAATGAAGTAGTAGTCAATTTTCCACTTAGATGAAAATTCAAAAAGTAATTTTGAAGGTTTGGTATGCCTAAAATAAAATTTAAAAATTTACAATCTCAGCACTTTGGGAGACCAAGACAGGCAGATCACAAGGTCGGGAGATGGAGACCATCCTGGCCAACATGGTGAAACCTTCTCTCTACTAAAAATACAAAAATTAGCTAGGCGTGGTAGCATGTACCCACCTGTAGTCCCAGCTACTCGGGAGGCTGAGGCACGAGAACTGTTCAAACCCGGGAGGTGGAGGTTACAGTGAGCCGAGATTGCACCACTGCACTCCAGCCTGGGAGACAGAGCGAGACTCTGTCTTAAAAAAAAAATTACAATCATCATCAGTTAACCTAGCTTCCATCACTAGCAATACATGAGATCAATGCTACTTAGGTGATTAAAAAAAAAAAAATCCACCCAGGATGGATTACTTACTCTGTCACCCAGGCGAGCACAGTGACGTGATCTCAGCTCACTGCAACCTCTGCCTCCCAAGCTCAAGTGATCCTTCCACCTCAGCCTCCAATGGTGTGCCATCACGCCTGACTAATTTTTCTATTTTTGGTAGACAGGGTCTCACCATGTTGCTCAGACTCATCTCAAACTCCTGGGCTAAACCGGTCCTCCCACCTCAGCCTCCCAAAGTGCTGGGATTATAGCCTTGAGCCACCACACCCAGCCAAAAAAAGTTTTTATGTTGATCTCTGAATATTTAAGTATCATATCTAATGTAAATTTCAGGATCAAAACCAGAAATTCCTTAAAAACAAAAAAAGAAAATAGCTTTCTCAAGTTTTTATGATTATAAATGTAAAATCAGTGTATAAAATCTGAAAAGTTAAAGAGAAAATTAAAAACAAAACACTCTCACCATTTTAAGGAAAACACCAGTGCTATTATTTTTATGTTTCCTTTTACTTTTTTATTCACTTAATTATTTCAAGTATGTGTTGAATGCCTTCTATGTGGTAGGTGATCTGCTAAGCGCTAGGAATACAATGATGAGCATAGACAGACTCCTGCTCTCACAGACCTTGTAACAATAGAACTGCTTAACATATATTGTTACAATTTGTCTCTTAAAAATTTACAATCTTGCTGAAGAATAGATACTCATAAATAATACAAAAAACAGAATGCAATGTGGCCATTAAATATAAAGGACAATGGAAATAGGAAAACACTGCAGAGAAACACACACCACATCATAAAACTTATTTATCTGTATAGCTGACTCCAAAATTACTGGTTTGCTTGACTATTTTATCAATCATTATGTTCATATATACTTATTCAACTCAATTTCTCATTAAAAATATTTTCAATTGTGGAAGCTGAAGTTCAGTTTCTTTTCTACTGAAACTAATAGTTTAGTATGCACTATGTATTTACCAAGATTACTGGTTCCCTGAGCCTACATTTAGCAGTCTATTTGGCAATATACAGCTCAAACTATAATAGACTCTGAAGAAAAAAAGTCTCACTTACTGAATTCTGTGGAACAATGTCTTTCAATGAGCATGGTTGTGCTAACGGCTGGATGTCTTTTAGCAGCCCTTCAATATATGGTTCAGATTTCCTTAGAAACAGACATAAATCATTTACCGCAGTATGTTGGTCAGCAGAATGTTCCGGTATCAAATGGGTATCAACAACTCTAGGAGAAATTCAAGTACTATTTATTGAAAGTAATGCTTCAAACTTGAATTTATTTTCCCCCATAGAAAGGTACATGTTTCTAAGTATAATTTTTCTTGTTACACCTTTCAGAAAGTTACATTCCAAATACTTTCTTACTATATAGAATTACTTTAGCTTCTATAAGCAGAGATACTGTTTTCCTCCATAGAATTAAATCTCAGGTACATTTCACTTTCATATACTCACTCAGTTTGAGCTTAAAGAAGATAATGACCCTTCCCTCCATATAAATCTATTTATTTATAAGCTATAACCACTAAATGATGATGCTATGGTTAATGCTGGCCCTTACTACAGAAACACGTCAGTTTGTATTATTTTCCTAGAAGACAGGGAAACCATTTTAAATACCTAATGAGTTAGACAGTATGACACTTTAAAAAACCCTAATGAAATTATGGAAGTCAGATTAAAAATTTAACTCAATCATCTATAGCTAACTGTAACACTTTATTTAAAAGAATTAGTTTTGTGTGTTATTCCCTGCTTTGAAGTGACATAAGAAGAGTACCTAAGTTCCTTTTCTAAGCTCTCCATTTAGTAATACTGGAAAACGAGAAAACTTTACATATCAACTGTAGAGCAAAACAATAAAGTATATGTCTTGGAAGTTAAGAATGACACAAATTACTCCTCTCTACCTCTAATTTCCTTTATTCTTTAACTTCACCCCCCTCCAAAATGTTTCTAACCAGGCCAAGACCACATATTATAAAATATCATACCCTGTGACAATCAGGACTTCAGAATTTCCAAAATCTACCATGAATATTTGTATTAGTGCAACTTCATGGACAAAGAATTTGGTTGGACTACAAGGTTTTCTAATATTTTTACTCTCTATTGGAATTAATTCTGTGATAGTTCCTCGACACCACACTCCATTTTTAATACTGTTGACAAATATTCTTGCACCTAAATAATGAGGGAAACAAATCATTATCAATGTTTATCAAGAGAGACACTTAGTAAGTTTACAGACACGTTAGTTCTACCACTAAAAAGTCTTAATTCATTTATTTACTGATGACATAGTACTGTGTTCAAGTGCTATGAGAAGGATGTAATATATTATGCTAGTTTCTGTTATACAGAAACAAGCTAAATAGGGAGATAAACAGACAAAGAATACTAAGTTATAAGTCACTTAATGAGGACCTGTTTCGTAAGTAATAAGAACAAAGATGAATGAGACTGTCTTGCCATCAAGAAGCTCAAGAAAGGAAGAGAGATGGGCAAATTAATTACCATAATTACACTGTACTTACCACAATCAAGACCATATGTCCTTGCGCATGTACACATGTACACTTACTGACATAGACATACTGAGATTTTAGACAACTATGTGCAACCACAAAAATTAAATTCAATATTATACTTCCCTCCTCTTAGATACTAACAATCTAATGTTCCCAGCTCATGTGGCATATTATTTTTTAAGTATTAGAATTACTATTCATTTTTATCAAAGTATATGATGATCCTACTCTTCTGACATTCCAAAAAGCTGTATCGATGAGCTGAGAATTAATCACACTTTTTTTTTTTGAGACAGAGTCTCGCTCCATCGCCTGGCGCCAGGCTGGAGTGCAGAGTGGCACGATCTTAGCTCACTGCAACCTCCGCCTCCCACGTTCAAGCAATTCTCCTGCCTCAGCCTCCCGAGTAATTGGGACTACAGGCACATGCCACCACACCCAGCTAATTTTTGTATTTTTAGTAGAGGTGGGGTTTCACCATGTTGGCCAGGATGGTCTCGATCTTTTGACCAAGTGATCCGCCCGCCTCGGCCTCCTAAAGTGCTGGGATTACAGGCATGAGCCACCATGCCCTGCCTAATCACACTTTTAAATGACTATCAATCAAGATTAGACAGAAAAACACTTTTGGTATTGTTTATATACAGGCATTGGCTGCTATTAACAGAATGAGAAAAATGCTCTATTAATAAAAATGAATCATAGCTTCATCATATTACAAGGTACAACCAAATTCAATCAACAGTGTTATAAGAAAAATACTTATAGCAAAAGCCTGAACCATGGCAAATTCACATCCTCTCACAATTAAAAGACTGACTGCATTTACAGTGACCCTCTGTGGGGCACTGGGAATGGGTGCCACAGGCCTCCTAAATCTCAGATGTTCAATGCTAGCCCCAACACTAACACATGGCAAGCAAAAGACTGGAGTTACACATGAAGAAGAATCATGTGTAACTAAGACGTTAGAAGCATAGTTCTTCATGGAGACAAAGGGACAGGCTACATAACCTGTCATGGGTTTTGTAGTTTTAAAAGCAATTCACCCTACTACATAATCAAGTTTCTGTACCCATCTCACTCTAATGTGCCAACATTCCATTTTAATCCTTAGCTAATTTACTAAATTTTTATGCTTATTACAAATGAACTTAGAGCAAAAATCTATATTATAACAAGTCTTATATGGGTTGACCAAGTTATAATATATAAATACATTTGATAGTTGCACCTCAGTAATAATAAATTTGATATTTTAACTTGGAGTAGTATTTCATTACCTAGTTCCAAAATGTCAGAAGGATCAAGGTGTGAACTCCTGTTGCAAAATTCATTCACCTTCTTCTCCAGTACTTTTGCGTCTTTTATTTGTGAATACTTCCGAATGTAGAAATGGCAAGGATCTATTACATGGCTTACAAAAACTAGCTCTGCAGAACCTGGATAAAAATGTTTAAGCCACATTAATAAACTATGAGTTACAAATGAATTCACAAAAGCTGAACAACTTTAATAGCTTCTGAAAAAGTGTCTTATGGTATTGTAAACTCTGGAATACTGCATGTAGGCCCCAGGAAGTAGTCTAAACCCTGAAGGATAAAACAAATGGATCGCTGTCAACTTGAACTCTTTAGTAACCTGAACTGCAAATACTTCATATTACTCGCAAAATATTATAAGTGGTATCATAGTCCATGTGATAGTTATGATTCTAAAGTCAGCATATATGCTGTAACTCTACTGTATTACAAAAGTTCAGTTTATTGATGAACATCTTTGGAACTCAGAACCCCTACTGATAATGATTAAGTTTCTAGGATAGCCTACAAAAGCCGGTTCAGTCTATGCTCTACCAATAGAACCAATATAGCTCACAGTCACTCTGAATCCCAAGTCTTATATATCAGGTTAGTCTTATAAATCAGGTGTGAAAAAATGTCCAGGCAGGGCCGTATGCGGTGGCTCACGCCTATAATCCCAATACTTTGGGAGGCCGAGGCAGGTGGATCACGAGGTCAAGAGATCGAGACCAACCTGGTCAACATGGTGAAACCCCATCTCTACTAAAAATACAAAAAAAAAATTAGCTGGGCATGGTGGCGTGTGCCTGTAATCCCAGCTATTCAGGAGGCTGAGGCAGGAGAATTGCCTGAACCCAGGAGGCGGAGGTTGCAGTGAGCTGAGATCACGCCATTGCACTCCAACCTGGGTAACAAGAGCGAAACTCCATCTAAAAAAAAACATGTCCAGGCAAAGCCAAAGTACTGAGATGCATTTAAGGGAATATGTGTGCTTTTTGGTGGGGTGAGTAGAGGTAAAAACAGTCAGAAAATTTTCTTAAGCCAAGTGTCTTCACTAATATGAAAAGATTTCCAAAGTATAACGTTAAGGAAGGAATGCAAAAAACATAACAGTAGTATGCTAGATTTTGTGTTTTTTTTTTAAAAAAAAAAAAAAAAAAAAAAAAAAAACCACCCTACACAAAGATAGAGAGAGGGAGAGAGAAGCCTGGAAAAATAATTAGTGTGTGTTTATTCATAAACGCATGAAGAAAATCTAGAAGAGATGGAGAGACTGAATAGAATAGGCACAGGATGGGGGTAAGTTTCACAGAATATTTTAATATATATTTAATTTCTGAATTAGATCAATGTTTTACATGGTAAAATTGTTTAAAAAACAAAGACTAGGAGGAGTGGAATTGAATACAGCCAAGTATAGATAGATGACAGAAACTGAACAAATGCATCATTTTAACTATCCAATAGAAAATATAAAGAATAATGACCATATTTAGAGTGGAGTAAAAAGATAAATACATACAACTGGGGGTGACATCTGATAGAAGTATAAATTTTGGAAACATTCTTGGCTGAGCACGACGGCTCATGCCTGTAATCCCAGCACTTTGGGAGGCCAAGGAGGGAGGATCGTTTCAGGACAGGAGTTTGAGACCACCCTAGCCGACACAGTGAAACCCCATCTCTACTAAAAATCTCAGCTACTCTGGAGGCTGAGGCATGAGAATCATTTAAGTCTGTGAAGGGTGCTGTGAGCCAAGATTGTGCCACTGCATTCCAGCCTGGGCGACAGAGGGAGACTCTGTCTCAAAAAATATTTTGAAGGAGGCGGTTATTCTTGCCAGAGTCAAAGCTTATTTATTTATTCATTCATTTATTTTTATTTTTATTGAGATGGAGTCTCACTCTTGTTGTCCAAGCTAGAGTGCAGTGGTGTGATCTTGGCTTAACTGAAACTTCCGCCTCCTGAGCTCAAGTGATTCTCCTGCCTCAGCCTCCTGAGTAGCTGGGATTACATGCACCCACCACCACGGCCAGCTAATTTTTGTACTTTTAGTAGAGACGGTTTCACCATGTTGCCGGGCTGGTCTCGAACTTCTGACCTCAGGTGATCCATCTGCCTCGGCCTCCCAAAGTGCTGGGATTACAGGAATGAGCCACCACACCCAGCGTATTTATTTTTGAGATGAGGTCTCACTCTGTCACCCAGGCTGGAGTGTAGTGGTGTGATCTCAGCTCATTGCAACCTCCGCCTCCCAGGCTCAAGTGATCCTCCCACCTCAGGCTCCTGAATACCAGGGACCAGAGGTATGCACCACCACGCCCACTTACGTTTTTGTATTTTTTGTAGAGAGAGGGTTTCACCATGTTGCTCTGGCTGCTTTCAAACTTCTGAGCTCAAGTCATCCACTCACCTTGGCCTCCCAAAGTGCTGTTACAGGTGTGAGCCATGGTGTCTGGCCCCAGAATTAAAACTTTCAACATTAGAAAGGAATATGTTTTAGTTATCAGTGAAATTCACTCTACTTACTACCTCACACTAGGTAAGAGTTATTTACTATACATACAGTAAACTCCACTATATCAAGCTCAGACAGTTGTTACAGTACCTGCTTTTGATCCATAAAGAACAGATGAGATTTTCTGAAGAGGCTTTTTTGGATATCTATGTGTCTCCACAAGATCATCTGTGCTGCATGCTTCATCAAAGAAATAAAGACAACTTGTACTAACTATGTTAATGTTAACAATGACATGCTAGGGTTTTTTTTTTTGGTGTTGTTTTTGTTTTTTGAAATGGAGTTTCGCTCTTGTTGCCCAAGCTTGGCTCACTGCAACCTCCACCTCCCGGGTTCAAGCAATTCTCCTGTCTCAGTCTCCTGAGTAGCTAGGATTACAGGCATGTGCCACCAGCCCTAGCTAATTTTGTATTTTTAGTAGAGACAGGGTTTCTCCATGTTGGTCAAGCTGGTCTTGAACTTCCAACCTCAGGTGATCCACCTGCTTCAGTCTCCCAAAGTACTGGGATTACAGGTGTGAGCACCGCGCCCAGCCGACATCCTAATTTTAAAAAAGCTGTACTTGAATTGGCAAAATACTAGAATGGCAACACCCCTTGTATCAGTGAATAAAGTCATTACAGGTATCTTAAGTAATTTAGACATCAATGATAATACAACGGAAAGAAGTGCGTCCTTTTTTAAAATGTAATTCTGGAGAGTCAACCAATAAAACGGACAAAGGGTAAAAGAAAATAAAAGCTGATCTTGAGAAATGGTTCTAATGGAGATAATCAGTATAAAACTACATAGTGTAGTACTTCACTCCACGTCAATGGCAAGAATACTGACACTGGAAATTTAATCACATACTGTGATATATTTATATGTTATAAAATAGATAACATGATAGTTTATCTTATGTTAAATCTCAAAACAAAGATTGAAGATGTTCTTATTTCAAAGAAAGTAATACAACTATGCCCATAAATCATATCTCATTTATTTATATCTTTTATACAAGACTTGTAAGAACACTAAAAATCTCAGAATACCCTAATTAAACCAGATATTAATTCATACCTCAGAAGGTTAGCTGTATTACTGCATTAAAAATAAAAATTATCCTAACTCTGGAAAATGTAAGAATAGGGGCATGGAATGAACAGGTTTTAAGTCACAATGAGGAATAAGATTATAAGAGCAATTGCATTTCTGTTAAATGCATGGATGAAAAAGGTACCAACTGTATCGAATTACAGATACAAGATCTTTCCCACATGCTTTTACATTTTTACTCACTTTCTATGTTGTCTTCAATAATTTCTTCAATTATCACATCAGGGCTAGATCCCATTTGAGGTAACAGAGCAATGGTTTTAGGGGATGCTGTTGCAGCAATGTCTTTCTGTGGCTGCAAGTTTTTTGCTTCTAAATGTACATTATTTGTCTCAGGTTGCAAAGGAGGTAGTGGTGCTTCATTGGTTAGGACAGACATGTCAATCTTCTTCTTTTCTACTGGTGGGTATGTATCATAACAAGAAAGCCCCTTCTTGTTATTGTATTTCTTCTGAACATTCTGACTAATTTCATTTTCTTGGGGATGACATCTGTTTAAAAATACAGAGATATAAGCTTACAAATACAGAGGTAAATGGTACAACCCTGAATAAGTCACTAGAAATTTCCACAAAGGCCATTAATCTGAATTTTGGGGCATGATTATTCAATAGCCACTCACCCACTGCCAGTTATTTATCCATTCTACTCCATATTTTTCTATCTTCTCCACATATCTAGACAGTTTTTAGGCTATCGAATCTACAAGTATAGAAATTTTACAATGAAATAAGATTGGGTTTCATGAAGTTTGTGTTTCAGTTATTTCATGATGGATTTAGCTTCTTCAGAGATCACTGTTTAAGCAGCTACTGTGGGAGGTCAAGGCGGGCAGATGAAAAGGTCAAGAGATAGAGACTACCCTGGCCAACGTGGTGAAACCCTATCTCTATTAAAAATACAAAAAAAAAAAAAAATAGCTAGGCATGGTGGCACAAGCCTATAGTCCCAGCTACTCAGGAGGCTGAGGCAGGAGAATCGCTTGAACCCGAAAGGCAGAGGTTGTGGTGAGCCAAGATGGCGCCATTGCACTCCGGCCTGGGCAACAAGAGTGAAGCTCTGTCTCAAAAAAAAAAAAAAAAAAAAAGTAATCTCCTTATTTTTACTTTCATGCTTAAAAACTTTTAGTGGCTTTCTACTGCCTAGAGCTATACTGCACAACAGAAATTTTGGTGACAATGGAAATAAGCCATATTATCTAATATAGCAGTGCTTTGGTCTAAATGTTTCAAAATTCATGTTGAAACTTAATTCCCACTGTGGTGATATTAAGAGATGGGGCCTTTGGGACAATTAACGATCAAGTTATGAGGGCTCTGCCCTCATGAATGGATTTGTGCCTTACAACATGTCTGGAGGGAACTAGCTTAGGCGCTTTTGCTCTTCTGCCCTTCCACTGTGTGAAGACATTTATTTGTCCCTTTTTTGCTCTTCTGCCTTTCCACTGTGTGAAGACAGTTATTTGTCCCTTTTTTGCTCTTCTATCCTTTCTGCCACACGAGGACACAGCTTCCAAAGGCACTTCTTAAAGCAGAGATCACGGCCCTCACCAGAAACCAAACCTGCCAGCACCCTGACCTTGGGCTTCTCAGCCTCCAGAACTGCAAGCAAATAAACACCTGCTCTTTATACATTACATAAGAATAAAACACATCTGTTCTTTTTAAATTTTATTATAGCAGCACAAATAGACTACGACAGGTAGTCACTAGCAACAGGTGGCTACTGAACACTTGAAATGTACGCTAATACATTTAGCCTAGGAACTAGATTTTAATTATATTTAGTTTTAATTAATTTATGTCTAAATTTAAATAGCCACATGTGATTAGTGGCTACCATATTGGACAGTATGGATTATAAAGTTCCAACATCATCAGATAGCATACAAAATCTTTTTTTTTTTTTTTTTTTTTTTTTTTTGAGACGGAGTTTCACTCATGTTACCCAGGCTGGAGTGCAATGGCGCGATCTCGGCTCACCGCAACCTCCGCCTCCTGGGTTCAGGCAATTCTCCCGCCTCAGCCTCCTGAGTAGCTGGGACTACAGGCACGCACCACCATGCCCAGCTGATTTTTTGTATTTTTAGTGGAGACGGGGTTTCACCATGTTGACCAGGATGGTCTCGATCTCTTGACCTCGTGATCCACCCGCCTCGGCCTCCCAAAGTGCTGGGATTACAGGCTTGAGCCACCGCACCCGGCCGCATACAAAATCTTTAGGACTTAGCATCTTTGTATTCTTGGGGACACAGAGAATGGAATTACATACACTGTTACCTGAATCTAGCATGCTATTTCACTGCCCATACATTCACTGCCCATAAGATGCCTAATTCCTTTTTGTCCTCCTTTCTACTTGCTACTTAATTTTCACAGAAAAGGGAAAAGAAAATATCTTTCTTTGATATTTTCAGACTCAATTCCCCTGCTTTGCACCTCAAGCAAATTCTGCATTCACGGCTCTAGCAGTTTTGCATTTTATTGTTTACATGTCCTTCTTCCTTTACTTACTGTAATTTATCTGACATTTATCTTAATTATCTAGGGTGTTGGTACCTAGCAGTATTCAATGCTTGATGACTGAATCAATCTCAAAGATAAATTTGACATATATATTGCGGAATACTGATCCCTTCCAGGCCTTTCAAAAAATTTTATACATAGAATTTAATTATAGAAACTCTTAAGTCCTTTATTTTTCAGCTCTTGAATTATACTAAACATCAATTTTTCTGTCTCTTAGATAATGTAGGTACTGTAAGAAACTAATGGCATGTCACCATGATTATACTTACTTTGTTGAGTCCTCAAATTCAATCTTTCCCATATTTTTGAACATATAGATAATCTCACTGCAATTCACATTCAACCTATAATTAAACATTAACATATATGTAAATGTTCTAATACAAATTTATTATGTTGTCTCAACAAAAATCAGTTACTGACATTAAAATAATGAATCAAAAAGGAAACACTTAAATAACTTTCTAAGTTAGCACAAATTATAATTACCTTAATTTGGTTGCTAACTTGGTAAACATTTGTGACCCAAATTTTCAATTTATAACTGCTTACTATTTTAATACATTTAAGTTCTAACACATCTTTAAACTTGTATGGTCTCCTGAACTACGACTTACTCACCTGGGAGGGTTCCTTTGTTTTAGAGAACTAACTTGTGCTAATTCACAATCTGATGTTAATTTCAAAGTCCGGATAATCTAGAATTTAAAAAAAAAAATCATTTATGTGTGAATCTTGTCACAAATAGTAAGATTTTAGAAAGAAAACTATCTTTTAGGTATTTCATTAATTAATGCATTCAGGTTCAATACGGGGCACACAAAGGGATACAGGTAAGTGTGACTTTTGGAGGTATCTATAAATAGTAACAATAGACACTAAAAAATAAGATAGCTACATGATCAGATAAAACTCTGATCAGACTCATTTTGCAACTGTGTTGCTATCTTCAAGTGTTTTCTCTTTTTCTGCCCTATTTTCTTAGCTAGATTAACTAGGATAAAGACCAAATTTTATCACTTTTTTCATCTCCTAGGGTCGCATGTGTAATACAAAGGAAACGACTACTATTGTTTTAGAACTCAAGTCTAGGACACCTAGCCAAGTAGAGTTGTGGCAAATTCTCCTTCTTTAACATTAGAGACTTAGAGGCAGGTAACTAATTAATGGCTACTCTTAACATTAGAGGCAGGTAAACTAATTAATGGCTTCTCTCCTATACAGCTGATTATCCATGAGAAGTGAGATCCTGAAGATTCAGAGATGACTAGAGAAAGATCTATACCCTTAGGGGTTGAGGCAGAAGTCAGCAAAGATTTGTGATTTAATCTCATTCTGCCAAACTATGAGAAATATGTTTTCTTTCTTTCTTTTTTTTTTTTTTTTTTGGCTCAATTCTGCCCCTCAGGCACATGATTAGATGAAGCTGTCTCTTGACTTGCACAATTTGGGAGGAAATGGGAAGAGAAAAACTTTACCAGAATTTTGAATTAAATTTTAAAGTCAAGAGTTGAGAGCCATACCTAAATTGTTCATGTGAAGAAAATAGAGTCCTATTCAGTTTTCTACCCCTACTTTTCCTCATTCTTTTATTCTGTTGTCCTAGAAACCTAAACTTTCACCTCAATGCCATCTTACTTGCTCTCAGATCATGTGTTACAAAGACTTCATTGCACTATTTCCCTAACTAGTCAAAAATAACAAAAGGTCATACAAATTTTACATTGTTTGTCTTAGATTTCAAACATTATTTGATTATAACTTAGATTATCCTAACCTATACTGTCATCAACTTAGAATTCTAAATAATAATACAGGTTACAATAATCTCAAAAACAAATTATTATCTTAAATACTATATTCCAAAGCATATAAAATAAGCTACCACAGAAATAACTCACATTGTGAATTATTAAATTACCTGATTCAGGTCACAATATGTTCTTAGAGAAGGTGATAATTGCAATGCTCTTGCTATGTTCATAGCTGCATTCAAATTATTTCTTTTCTCTTCAATGCAGCTTTTAGTCTTTATTAAATTTGATAGATAAGCATCAGCCGTTCTTGCAAATTCTTCACATAGGTTCTTTTTCCTTCATTTAAGATTCCAAAGTTATTTTGCAGTATTTCATAAATATTTATATAAATCTATAGTAACAGTATCTTTAAGAGTAAGTTCAGTAGTTAATGAATTTAACATAACATGGTTAAATAAGGCATAGAGTGACTGCACTGTATCTGAAAGGGTACTTTTACTTGTTGATAAAATTAACATATAACATGGTAAATGAGGCATTAACTTGAACTGAAATGTATTACAGTTTAAAGCTATGCATAGATAATTAGAGAAAAGCAAATTTTGTAGAAGGCAGGAGATTATAAATAGAGATATACAATATACCATCTAAGGCCTGGAGAAGAATCTGAGCTCAGACTCTTCAGGAAATTAAGACTTACAAAAGCAGTTGTATACACAGGGGAACTGAAAAAGCCACACTGACTCCCAGGCAAGATGCATGCTCAGAAAACATCTAAGAAGATCTTAAGCCTGATCTCATGCTGATCTCAGGGCTCAAGGTACAGACAACTACTCAGTGAAGGACTGTTACAGCAAGAGCCAGTCTGCAAAGACTGGGGGAGGTGGCTATTTTTTCCAATGTCCAATTTCAACAAAAATATAACAGGCACACAAAGGAACAGAAAAACATGACCCATTCAAAGGAAGAAAACAGAGTGGTAGAAACTGTTCTCAGAGAAGCACAGGCATTAGACTCAATAGACAGACGTAAAACAACTGTCTTAACTATGCTTAAAGAGCTAAAGAAAAACATGGACAAAGAACTAGAGAATAATCAGAAAAACAATATGGGGCAAAATGATAATATCAACAGAGAAATTATATAAAGCAGCCGAACAGAAATTCTAAAGATTGTGTTGAAAAATATGGTAATTTTAATTTTTGAAAACCACCAATGGTTCACTTGCAGTTTTGGACAGGTGAAGGAAAAAATGAACCAACTTGAATATAGGACAATTAAAATAATGAAGTCTGAAAAAAATAAAAACAATGAAGAAAAGTGAACAGAGTCTAAGGAACTTGTGGCTCACTATCAAGCAGACTAAGGTATGCATTGTAGGAGTCACAGGAGAAGAGAGAGACAAAGAGACAGAAATTATTTAAAGAAATAATGGCAAAATGAGCTCTATAAATCTAAGAGCTCAAGAACTCCAACTGCTGAAGAACAAGGAGAATCCTCAAACCAGCACGAGAAATGCAATTTGTTAAGTACAAGAGATCCTCAGTAAGATTATCAGCCAATTTCTCAGCAGAAATCTTGGGAGGAAATATTCTTCAGAAGTGAAGGAGAAGTTAAACATTCCCAGATAAACAAAGCTAAGGGAGTTCATTACCAATAGACTTTCAGTATAAGAAATGCTAATGAAAGTCCTTCATGTTAATGTGAAAGAAGGCTACACAGCAACTCAAAGCCATACAATGATAAAAACATCTCCGGTAAAGGTAAATATATAGGCAAATATAAAAACCAGTATTAGTGTAATTTTCATTTATAATTCTACTTTTTATTTTCTACAGAATTTAAAGGACAAATACACAAAATATCTATCTTAACGGGTATACAACATAGAGGAATGTAATTTGTGACATCAAAAAAAAGGGAAGGAGCCCATATGTAAAGCAGTAGAGGTTTTACATGCAACTGAAGTTAAGCTGTCTACTCAATGTAATTCTTATGCATAACCACAAAACCCTATTTACAGAATATGCACAAAAAGAAATGAGAAGGGAAACAAAATTTGTGACTACCAAAAAAAATCAAGTAAACACAAAGGCAGTGATGAAGGAAATAAGCAACAACAAATAAAGCCATAAAACATACAGAAAACAAACCAAATGGCAAAAATCTTCCCTTATTAGTATTTTAAGTGTAAATGGATTAAATTCTCTAATCCAAAGGTACAGATCTGAAGAACAGATAAAAAACATGACCCAACTATATGCTGTCACGAAAATTTAACTTTAGGTTTAAAGACATAGAGAATTTGAAAATGAAAGGACAGAAAAGATAATACACAGATAATTTTAAAATGTGGGGTGGCTCTACTAATTTTAGACAAGATAGACTATTTAGACAAGATGTAACAATTATAAGCATATATGCACCAACATTAGAACCTCAAAACGTAATGAAGCAAACACTCACAGAATTAAAGGGAAAAATAAAACTGTCTATAATAATCATAAGAGACTTCAATATCCCCCCTTCTAATATTGGATAAAACAACCAGTACAGAATCAATAAAGAAACAAATTACTTAAGACAACACTAAAGACTGATTGGACCCAGCAGACATATTTAGAACACTATACCCAACAACATGAGAATAAACATTTTCCTCAAGTGTATACGTAACATTTTGAGACAGGACATGTGTTAGACCATGCTGACTAATGTTTAATGTTCAGTAACATTTATTAGTAAGTCTTAATAAACTTAAAGATTGAAATCCTACAAGGTATCTTTTCTGACTACAATGGAATGACCTAGAAATAACAGAAAAAACAAAACCTGGAAGATTCATAAACGTGTAAAAATTAAACAATATAATCCTAAATCCCAATGGGTCAAAGAAATCACAAGGTAAATTAGGAAAATATCTGGGACAAATGAAGGAAGAACACAAAATTTATGGGACTCTATGAAAGCAATGCTGACAGGAATTTAAATGCTCTTATTTAAAAAGGAACTTGGAAATGAATAACCTAACTTTATACCATAAGTAACTAGAAAAAGACCAAACTAAACTCAAAGCGAAAGGAAGGAAATAAAGATGAGAGAAAAGATAAACACACAACACAGAAAAATGAAAGCAAAGTTTGTCTTCAAGCTTAGAATTAACAAACCTACAATCACACTAAGAAAAAAAGAATCAGATTACCAAAATCAGAAACAAAGTAGGTAAATTACTATCAATTTTATAGAAATAAAAAGGATTAAAAGACTATTATGAACAACTGTACACAAATTGTGTAACCTAGGTGAAATGGGCAAATTCCCAGAAACACATAACCTATCACAATTAACTCATAAAAGTATTTTAAAAATCTGTACAGACTTATAACTAATAAGGAGATAGACTCAGTAATCAAAAAGCATCCCAACAAAGAAAAGCTTTAGACCACATAGCTATACTGGTAAATTATACCAAACATGTAATAATTAATACCAATCTTCCTCAAACTTTTCCAAAATACTTGAAGAGGGAGGAATGTTTCCTAACTCATTCTATGAGGCCAAAATTACCAACTCCGAAACCACACAAAGACATCCAACTATAGACCGGTATCGTTTATAACTATTAATAGAAAATCCTCAGACAAACTAGCAAACCAAATTCAGCAGCACAGTAAGAGAATTATACAACATGACCAAGTGGGATTTATTCCTGGAAAGCAAGAATTGTTCAACATACAAACATCAATGTGTGATTGATGTAACACACCACATATAACAGAAAAAAGCAAAAAACCCAAGTGGTTGTCTCAATTGATGCAGAAAAAGGACCTGACATAATTCACTACCTCACTATAATAAAGACCATATAAGGAAAAACCCATAGTTAGCATCACACTCAATGGTGAAAGATTGAAAGCTTTTCCTATAACATTAGGAACAAGACATACCTGCTTTTGCCACTTCTGTGCAACACAGTAATGAAAGCTCTAGTCAAAGCAATTAGATAAGAAAAAGAAATAAGGTATTCAAATTGGAAAGAAAGAAGTAAAATAATCTTTTTGTATGAAGGTATTTTCTTTGCAGACAACATGACCTTACATGTAGAAAACCCTAAAGATGCCATAAAAATACTAAAGCTAATAAATGCATTCAGCAAAAAAGTAAGATACAAAAATCAATATATAAAAATACAGTGTTTTTCTACACAGTAACAATGAATAATCCCAAAAGAAAATTAAGGAAACAATTCATTTTACAATAGCATCAAAAGAAATAAAATACTTAGGAATAAACTTAAGAAGTAAAAAACTTGTATATAAAATTGCTGAAAGAAATTAAAGGCACAAATAAATGAGAAGACATCCCACGTGCATATATTGTTCATGTCAATACTACACAAATTGATCTAAAATTCGATGCACTACCTAAAAAATCCCAATGACATTTTTTGTGAAAACTGAAAAATCCATCCTAAAAGTCATACGAAATCTTAAGAGACCCTGCAAGACAATCTTGCAAAAGGATAAAGCTGTAGGACTCAAATATTCTGATTTTAAAGCTTGCTACAAAACTACAGTAATCAAAACAGTGTGGTACTAGCATAAGGAAAAACATTCAGAACAACTGAATAAAACAGAAATCCTAGAAATAATCCTTCACATATATGGTGGGCTCATTTTTGACAAAGATGCCAAGAACATTCAATGGGGGAAGGACAATCTTTTCAACAAACAGTGCTGGGAAAACTGGATAACCAATTCAAAAGGATGAAGTTGGATCCTTACTTTATACCATACACAAATATTAACTAAAAATGAATCAAAGATCTAAACATAAGAACTATAAAACTCTTAGAAGAAAATACACGGAAAAGGCATCATGATGTTAGATTTGGTAATGACATCTTGAATACGACACCAAAAGCACAAGCAACAAAATAAACAACTGGACTTAATAAAATTAAAAACTATTGTGGATCAAAGGACATTGTCAAGAGAGTGAAAAGACAACCCACAAATCAGAGAAAATATTTGTAAGTCACATAGATAAAAATTTAATATCCAAAATATATAAAGAACTCCTACAACCCAACAGCAACAAAGTAAATGATCCAATTCCAAAATGGACAAAGGACCTGAATAAATACTTTTTTGAAGACATACAAATGGCCGATAAGCACATGAAAGGATGCACATTACCAGTCATTAGAAAAATACAAACCAGACCATAATAATACTCCATTTCACGCTTATTAGAATGGCTACTATCAAAAAAGAAAAACAACAAAAAACAACCTTGTGTATTGCTGGTGGGAAAGTAAAATGGTACATGCAGCCACTGTGGAAATCGGTGTGGCAGTTCCTTAAAAAGTTAAACACAGGCCAGGTACAGTGGTTCACGCCTATAATCCCAGTGCTTTGGAAGGCCAAGGTGGGAGAATGGCTTGAGCCTAAGAGTTCAAGACCAGTCCTGGCAACATAGCAAGACCTCATCTCTACAAAAAATGAAAAATTAGCCAGGTGTGGTGGTATGCACTTATAGTACCAGCTACTCTGGAGTCTAAGGTGGGAGGATCTCTTGAACCTGACAGTCTGAGATTGCATCACCGTATTCCAGCCTGGGTAACAAAGCTAGAGTCTGTGTCACCACCAACAACAAAAAAGTTAAACAGAATTACCACATACCTAAACTGTAAGCATAAGAAGGGCTAAAAGGAAAAAAACACAATTGCCTTTCCAAGGGAAAAAAAAAAAACATGGTTAAAGGTAACTTGTGTTATGTGTATTTCACTACCATAACAAAATAAACTCATGCACATGAACTATTACTTGAATGTTATAATTAAAGACCAAATGTGAGACTGTACCAACATGGAGAATATAGTATCAACCAATTCATGCATAGATTGAGCCTATGTTCCAGGAATCCTCAGGAATTTTTTTTTTCTTTGAGATGGAGTTTCACTTGTCACCCAGGCTGGAATGCAATGGCATGATCTTGGGTCACTGCAACCTCCACCTCCCAGGTTCAAGTGATTCTCCAGCCTCAGCCTCCCAAGTAGCTAGGATTACAGGCATGAGCCACCCCGCCTGGCCAGGAAATTTTTTTAAAAGCACCTAAAAAATGATTTAGGAGTCAACTGGACAAATGATGTTACTAAATATATTACTTTGAGCATGCTACAACTTCAAAGAGCTTGTTTCTTGAAATGCATAAGAGAGGGAATATCTACTGTACCTCTGTCATGTTAGTAAAGATAATATATGTCAAATGGCTTTCTAAATAGGTAACAGATGTATATAAGTTCAAGGTATTTAGCAATGCCTATTAGGTTTCTGCTCTGTTGCAAAAAAGCACATGAAAAAATGACAGATCTATAAAAAACTATGTATTTTCCTAAATATATAGAATTCCACAACATAAGTTATAAAAATCTTTTTCTGTGCTAACTGCTTTAAGAAAAAAGTTTATTTACTTTTTTGAGATGGGGGTCTCACTTTGTCACTCAGGCTGGAGTACATTGGCAGGATCACCGCTGTCTTCAGTCTTGACCTCTTGGGCTCAACAAATCCTCCCACCTCAGCCTCCCATGTAGCTGGGACTACAGAAATGCACACGATGCCTGGCTACTTTTTTTTGCTACTTTTTTTTGTACAGATAGGGTCTCACTACATTGCCCAGGCTGGTCTCAAGCTCCTGAGCTCAAGCATCCTCCCATCCCAGCCTCCCAAAGTGAGCTGAGACAGGATGATCACCTTGTGATCCTACAGGTATGAGCCAGTGCACCTGGCCCAAGCTTGTTTACTTTAACAGTTAACAGCTTCAGCTGGGCACTGTGGTGCACACCCGTAATCTCAGCACTTTAGGAGCTTGAGGCAGGACCATCTCTTGAGGTCAGGAGTTTGGGACCAGCCTGGACAATATAGTGAGATACTTGTCTCAAAAAAAAAAAAAAATTAAAACCCACAAAATTAGCTGGATGTGGTGGTGTGTGCCTGTAGTTCCAGCTACTTGGAAGGCTGAGGTGGGAGAATCACTTCAGCCCGGGAGCTTGAGGCTGCACTGAGCTATTATCACACCACTGCACTCCCGCCTGGGCAACGATGCAAAACTCTGTCTCAAACAACCATTAGCTTCAGCACCAGAAGGTAAAACCCCAAATTTTTGAAAGCTTACACATTTTCAAGTTCTAAAAATCAGTCTGTAGGGACCACCAACTTTCAAACTTGTTTAAAGTTACCCATTACTTGGTGGCTCACACCTGTAATCCCAGCACTTTGGGAGGCTGAGGCAGGTGGATCACGAGGTCAGGAGTTCAAGACCAACTTGGCCAACAGAGTGAAACCTCGTCTCTACTAAAAACACAAAAATATTAGGGGGGACGTGGTGGCAGGCACCTGTAATTTCAGCTACTCATAAGGCTGGGGCAGGAGAATTGCTTGAACCTGGAAGGCGGAGGTTACAGTGAGCCAAGGTGGCACCACTGCACTCCAGCCCAGGTGACACTGCGAGACTCCGTCTCAAAAAAANAAAAAAAAAAAAAAAAAAATTACCCATTATTTCATTCTAAACAAATGAATACAATGACAAGTTAGTGTTAAAAATTTCCATTTCATTCAGTCTGTATTTTTAAGTTACTACCTGGAATCAAAAAGAGCCGTAAGTTGGTCAAACTGTTTCTCCACAACTTCTATAACACTTTCTGTCTCCTCTCTTGTTTGCTTCTGCATGTGTTCAAGTATCTGGAAAAAAGACAAAGACTTAATTTTGGAATTTTTATTTTGTAGAAGTTGTAGAATTTTGGAAGTCAAAGGTACTTTCTAAACTCTTCAAAGTAACACAAGAGGTAATTATAATATAAATAGAATATGTCACAAGGTTCAACTTTAAATCTTGTAACTTGTGAGCAAGACTGTATCTTTTTTGTTTGTTTTACTGAGACAGGGTCTCACTTGGTTGCTGCCCAGGCTGGAGTGCAGTAGGCTGAGCATTGCTCACTGTAACCTTGAACTCCTGGGCTCCTGCCTTGGCCTCCTCAGTAGCAATGACTACAGGCACACAGCTCCATGTCGAACTCTTTTTTTCTTTTTTGCAGGTGAGGGTAGGGACAAGTTCTCATTATGTTGCCCAGGCTGGTCTCAAACTCCTGGCCTGAAGTAATCCTCCTGCCCTGGCCTCCCAAAACACTGGGATTACAGGTGTGAGCCACCACATCTGGCTTTGTTGGCATTTTCTATTGATAATATGGCAACAACACCTAAAAAAATCCACTGATGTGTGTACACTAAATTTTTTTCTTATTCCTTTTTATCATTACAGGAAACAAGTCATTTTAAGTAGCTGAATTTCTCTTTGATAGGATTCCCTGGATTTAATAAAATATTAAGTATTACACAATCTTAGTATTTTTGAAGTTTTAAGTACTGTTGCTTGAATCCATGACCCCTTTTTTCCTCCCAATTTCTCCCATTTAGAATAGAAATGTCTTATTCCTGTTTCACCAATGTATTTTAGAAGCAAGCAAGTTCTTGTCTCATTTCATGGGCTCATAGACAGGAATTCTGCCCTAGGATGAATCACATCTCGAGTCTTCACCAATACCTGACTTAGAAGGTCAGATTTTAATTATTTATTTATTTATTTATTTTTTAAGAGACAGAGTTTCACTCTGTCAACCAGGCTGGAGTGCAGTGACATCATCTCAGCTCACTGCAACCTCTGCCTCCCTGGTTCAAGTGATTCTCGTGCCTCAGCCTCCCAGTAGTTGGAACTACAGATATCTGCCACCATGCTCAACTTTTTGTTTTTCTGGTTTTTTTTTTTTTTTTTTTTTTTTGAGACTGAGTCTCTCTCTCTACCCAGGTGGGAGTGCAGTGGCACGATCTGGGCTCACTCACTGATCTGGGCACTCTGCCTCCTGGGTTCAGGCAATTCTCCTGCCTCAGCCTCCCGAGTAGCTGGGATTACAGGCACAGGCCACCATGCCCGACTAATTTTTGTATTTTTAATAGTGATGGGGTTTAGCCATGTTGACCAGGCTGGTCTTGAACTCTTGATCTCAAGTGATCTGCCCACCTTGGCCTCCCAAAGTGCTGGGATTACAGGAGTGAGCAAGGGTGCTGGCCCAGAAAGTGAGGTTTTTATACTTATAACTGATGCTGCAATGGGTTAAATTTTGGGGGATGTTGGCATGTGGTAAATGCATCTTGCATTGAGAAGGACATGAATACTGAGCACTAGAGGGCACTGTTTTGAGTTGGATTGTGTCCCCACTCTCCCAAATTCAGATACTGAAGTCCTAACCTCTGGTTAATTTACCACTGATTTGCTCTTCTCTACTATATCTGGTACTAGTTATTGCTTATCACAGGTGACATCCTTTTTTCCCCTTTTTCTCTCAATGTTAGTTTTTCTCTAAAAACTCTTCTAGCTTATTACTTTTATTCCTCTTCAGAAACGACTTTTGATAGTGATCCTTAGCCAGTCAAAAATGTTTTGTCCTTCTCTGCAAAAAAGCAGCCACAACATAATCAGCTACACCCTTTTGATTTCCTTGATTGTAAATTTTGTTGCTAGGTGCTGAAGAGCTTGTTTTGTGTCACCAAATGAGAGAGTCTCTTTTGGAAGGCAGAGTAAGAAGAGAGAGAGAGAGAGAGACTCCTTCTGTAAGGTGGGGATAACAGCAAACAGTGAGTAAATGTTGAAAAAATAATCTGCAATGCTTCTGAGACAAAATTCAGCCCACAGCAAGTAGATTTCATGGTTCCTTATTAAAGCTCGAATTTTATTAACTTCCTAGCACAGCAATGCTACAAGACCAATCTTGGCAGGCCATGGGAAAAGTTTCCCATTCTTTTTTAGATTATCTTAATAACCCAGTGCTAAGCTCTAACCTCAGTGTTAACATATCCAAATATACACGCTTAAAGAGGACATGCTTTACTTCATGATAGAATTTAATCATGCAAAGTGCTTACTTTTCCAGCAATACTTAATTGTTCAAAATTGTGGTGTGCTGTCTTCAATGCTTCATCAATTTCTTCTGCAGTGTTAGTGTCCTAAGAAAGGAGGGGAATCACACACAAATATAATACTAAAAAACATATGCTTAGATATGTATATTATAGTTGCAAAAAATTCAGGCTACCATTTTGGTTACAAAAGCAACATAGACTCACTACAGAAAAGTTAAAACAAGCAACAAAAATAACGGTCAATCCTGCTTACCTGGAGATAAAAACCATTCATATTTTAGAGCTTTGATTAGACCATTCCAGATTTTTTTTAGAAAGGTATATTCTTTTAATAGGATCATGCCCTGTAATAATCTTTTCAACTTAAAACTACCTTGAACAATTTATCATGGCAAGACATGTATACATATAAAAATTATAAATAGTTCTTAAGAAAAAAAAGATTATAATTTGACTCCATTAAGATTTACACTTGAAGGAAAAGGAGTAAAATTAAGTGCTTTTTCTGCTTTCTCTGTCCATTGACTTTTTTTTTTTTTTTTTTTTTTGAGACAGAGTCTTGCCCAGGCTAGAGTACGGTGGTGCTAACTCCACTTACTGCAACCTCCGCCTCCCAGGTTCAAGCCATTCTCATGCCTCAGCCTTGAGAGTAGCTGGAATTATAGGTGTGTACCACCACAATTGGCTAATTTTTGCATTTTTAGTAGAGATGGGGTTTCACCAAGTCAGCCAGGCTGTTCTTGAATACTTGGCCTCAAGTGATCTGCCCGCCTCGGCCTCCCAAAGTGCTTGGGGTTACAGGCAGGAGCCACTGCGCCCGGCTTTCACTAATGATCTTAACGCAAAAATTTAATACTTCACTCAACATCATTTTGGAATTTGTTCTATTTCTAATCTTAATACATTATTTAAAGTTATCAGGAGTAGACAAAAAGTAAAATTCAATCTTGAGCAATAACATTAACAACAACAAATGCAGTTAGGCCTTTTGGTTGCCATTTAAATCACTGGAAAAAAATCACACTTAAAATTTAAAAACTTGTGCTTTATATGTTTCACAGAACCTAGGATTCAGTAACTAGTTTCAAAGGAAAGAAGCTTCACACATGTAAATATCAAGAACTTTGAAACAGAGTTACTCAAAGGTAGAATGGGTTGCCCTGAAAGAAAAGAGAACTGTGTAAACACAGAACAAAACAGATTCAAGTAGGACAGTGAGCTTACTTCTGTTACCTATAAATTTCCAAAAGAATCTATAATTATAGAAGAAAGTTAAGCTACTAGAGACCAAGTCAAACGTTTGCGTTCATCGTACTTCATGACCAACGTATTTCATACCAACATTACAGCTGATGAGTTCAAAACAGTCCTGTGTGTGGATGCTGAATGTTCTAAACCAGTAGTTAGCTGATCAGCAGTCTTCTTAAAGTCCTGAGAACAATTCTTTATCCTGAAAAGTGTCAAATATATTATTTTATTTTTTGAGACAGGATTTTTCTGTCACCCAGGCTGCAGTGCAGTGGCACCATTATGGCTCACTGCAGCCTCAACTTCCCAGGCTCCAGCAATCCTCCCACCTTAGCTGGGATCCTCCCAATTAGCTGGGACCATAGGTGTGTGGCACCGCACTCGGTTAATTTTTGTTTTTTGTAGAGATGAAATTTCAAAATGTTGCCCAGGTTGGTCTCAAACTCCTAAGCTCAAGCAATCCACCTGCCTCAATCTCTCAAAGTGCTGGAATTACAGTCACGAGCCACTGTGCCTGGCCCAAGTACATTATTTTAAACACCAACATTAATGTAATGATTTTAATCTTCTATTCAGATTTTTACCATAAAAAATAACTCATGACTTATAAGAACATGTACAGTGAGTTATCAATTAACTATAAATGCAAAGAGAGAAACCATAAGTAAATATGCTTTCATACAAATTTTAAAGAAAACAAATTCCAAAAACAATGGCTTAAAGTATATATTGTGTTTTAATTACAGTACTTAATTACTGGTCCTTATGTGGTATTTTTTGGTACAAATGATGATAATCACTGAAATGTGTTAAGCTCATCAATTAAAGTGAGTGTTTATACATACAAAGCCAGCTACTAAAAAGCATGTACTCAACAAGTCTGGAGAATTTACAAAGAGGTAATGAATTTAACTAGGCAAGTTAATGGCAAAGAAAAAGTTCATTGCATTGTCTAGTATATAGAAGTCAGAGTTTTATTTATTTATTTATTTCAGATACGGAGTCCCACTGTGTTGCCCAGCTTGGTCTTGAACTCCTGGACTCAAGTGATCCTCCTGCCTCAGTCTCCCACGGTGCTAGGATTACAGGCATGAGCCATCATGCCCAGCAAGTTTTATCTTTATATAACCATATTGGCTAGCACACTGTAACCAGTGTTTGCTGAGTTAACAACAGCTTATAGCTTATGGAGGAAACTATGATGTTTAAATGTTACTCTTATGCAGAAAAATACTAAACCAAATAATTTCTAAACATTCTATTACTTTGAAAAGTGAATGTTCATGTTCTTAAAAACATGAATGCATTAGCCCCGAGGATTCCATTATTGAATTCCTGTTTCAAAACGTTAAAAACAAATCAGTGAAGAAATGAGCCAAGGGTTACTGTAATTTAAAAATATACAACCATTTAAAACCAAACTGTACCTTAAATAATAGTTACTAAAATAAGTATAATTGACATAAATTTAATTTTTTAAATGGTTATTTGGAACAAATTTGGGTATTTTCTGGTTAAGATGGATTCCTCTACCTCTGAAAGTAAAATTTCACTTTGCAACTCTGACATTATACATATAAAGAGTACAATCTGGTCTGGCTTGCATGACATGTCAGAAAATTTCACACAGCAGTACAGATCTCTAGTTTGAGGAAAAAAGATCTGGCAACACTGGGTTGATCTTAACACATAGCAATAATTGGCTACAGCTGACTAACAACTGCATCCTTTGGAGGGAGTAAGCCCTCGGCATCAACTGCTATCCTCACCATTCATTGTTTCAACTCAGTTGACCTGACCACCCAGTAACTTATCTGCTTAACTCCTGTAGGTGTTCAAATTTGGAAGCCCTAATTTTGATAAAAATGGCTACTCCACGGGGACTCATAATAAGCCAGAAGATTATCTTAAAGGTTTATTCTAATAACTCTACATAGAGCTCATGGAGGACGTGACCAGTGGTATAGGAGTTGGGAGCAGTACTGGTATTCAATAAACCTAGTTTTACATTCTGGTTCTGTGAATAACCAGCTGCCAGACTTTAGCTAAGTGGTTTTACTACCCAAAGAAAATGGCTACAACCATTTTTTGTTTTTTTTTTTTTTCTAAGTACTCATTTAGGTCTGGAAAGAGAAGCTACAGTTGTAATATGAAGTGCCAGGAATTCTAGACTGAAGAATTTTGAATTTTAATTGAATAATCAATAAACAACTATAGCATAAAGCAGAGTCTGATAAGGAGCTAAACAAAAGAACAAGAGAAATAAGGCAGTAGAAATGAAAACAGGTTATGGATATAGGAGATACTATGGAAGTCATCTAACGGGAGTAAAATTAATGCAATAGGAGGAACTGAGGTGATTTATAAATACTTGATGCCATTAACAAAATTGGAGAGCTCCACATGAAATTGTTCCTTGAAAGAATCTTGTTTTATTTCTTGCATAGTCTACTACCATACTAACTATGCTTTAAAAAGTTATATACAATTTACCATCTGAGTACGGTTCTAGGAAATTGATCAGAAGGTCCTTTAACACTTAAAAAGTTACAAAAATCAAACACGTAATAAACATTGCATGTTTACCCTGTGTCCCAAACCAGAGATATAAAGAGGAATAAAATGTTCTCCATTCTCTTAAAAGGGCTTACAGACTAGCAGGGAAAGACAAACAGAAACATTAATTATTAAGTGAAATAATCAGTAACATGTACTCATCTCTAGCTCGGTGTATTAAAAAAATAAACTCAAAAAGAGAATCTATTAATGCATACATGTGTAAAGTCTCATACAATAATGCAAAAATGAATAAAAGAACTCCAAAGGTATTATTTCTCCTATAAATCACTTCTCAAACCAACTCTTCACTAAGTCTTCCACTATACTGTACTTGCGCTACTTTTAAGAATGAAGAGAACCTGGGTGCAGTGGCTCATGCCTACAATCCCAGCACTTTGAGAGGTTGAAGCAGAAGGATCACTTAAAGTTAGGAGTTTGAGACCAGCTTGGGCAACACAATGAGATTCCCCATCTACAAAAATAAAAATTAAAAATCAGCTGTGCATGCTGGTGCATGCCTGTAGTCCTAGATACTCCAGAGGCTGAGGTGAGAAGCTAGCTTGAGCCCAAGAGTCTGAGGCTGCAAGTGAGCCATGATCACAACCACTGCACTCCAGCCTGGGTGACACAGTGGGACCCCATCTCTCAAACAACTCAGAATTTAAAAAATTTTTAAAAAGAATCAAGAGAAGACTAAGCTTTTTCTTTCTCTATAACTTCCTTTCATCCAGCACGGGTAACTTTAACCAGTATCACTTTCAGCCTTTCTTGATTGGTAATCCTTAAATTTCTTTAAGTAAGGACAAACAAATGCTGCTTCTTTAAAGAGCTGGAGTCTCCATTCCACTGACAGCTAAAATGAATTATGAACTTAAAGAGCACTCCATAAACAGTGGGTTAGAAATACAGATTTAAGAATGGCATTATCAGTAATTCTAAAACTATTCCAGTAACACACTGACTCTAAATATTCAAATAAATACACATGGGACATACGTCTTAGGCTGCAGTTTTGCCATTACAGGGTCTTCTTTAAAACATCCAGCCATTAGGTAGTAGCCTTGTCTAGTATTCACAGCTGTAGCAACCTTAGGACGAAATAAGGGTTTAAAAAAACAAGACAGTTATCCAATACATTGTTTATCCAGAACCTAAACAACTATTTAAGTGTACCTTTCATAAAGTTAATACCCTAAAAAGCCCGAAATCCTCTGTAAATCAAGGAGAAAACTGTACTTATATGATGTTTTGATCCATTTTAATCTTTGAAAGAAATCAGGAATGTGGCAACTATTAATTTTTAGTTAATTAAGAAAAACACTTCATTCTACCGTAATTCTAAAGGAAATATTAGCAATACTTTCAATTTTACTTTAAAAATTTTAGGCCAGGCACAGGGGCTCACACCTATTATCCTAGCACTTTGGGAGACCGAGGTGGGTGGATTACCTGAGGTCAGGAGTTCGAGACCAGCCTGGCCAACATGGTGAAACTCGGTCTCTGCTAAAAATACCAAAAAAAAAAAAAAAAATAGCTGGGCATGGTGGCGGGCACCTAAAATCCCAGCTACTCGGGAGGCTGAGGCAGGAGATTCGCTTGAACCTAGGAGATGGAGGCTGCAGTAAGCCAAAACTATGCTATTGCACTCCAGCCTGGGAAACAAGAGTAAAATTCTGTCTCTCCAAAAAAAAAAAAGAGGGGAGGAGGATGGGACAGGTCACTTATCTCTAAAAGTTAAAACTAGTCAAAATGATACAAAATAGATTTATCACAACATTAAAATCAAACTTAGTATTTGTAAACACATTATAAACACTCTTACCCATTATCCAAAATCCTAAATAGTACAAGTATAATAATTTAAGAACATTAAATATGAAATCATTTGCCAAAAAAGGCAAAAAGTACTGTTCAAACATTTAAAAAAATATATTAAAACAGGACAGATATGGACACAGATAGTTCCAGCTGCCTGCTTTCTTTTCCCTTCACTTATTTTTCACCCACAAGACTGAATCCATCGGGGATCTACCACAACCACAGGAGGAGGGCTCACTTCATCTTAACCACATAGCCAACCACATCTGAGAAGCCCCATGTCAAAAAAAGAGAACAGGTTAGGAATTTCCCACAATAATATATCCAAAATAGGCAGCTTCTGATATGTAATTTGTTATAATTGAAACTTTTACTAATTACAATATATGGGTTTTTTTTTAAAACCATATTTAACTTGCAAGCCAGTTAATCCAAACCTAAATAATGAAGGGTTATTTAGTAGTCTGGAAGCTTAGAAAGAACTTTTACATAATTCAGATTTGATTCTTAGCAATCCTAGGAGATAAGACAAGGCAGGTATTACATCCATCTCACATATGAGGAAACCCAGGCTAGGTTGACAGAATGAGAACTACATTCTAGGTCTCATGTCTCCATATGGTCTCCCACACTGCAACAGAAAACAAATGATTCAAAGCCTTATCATCTGACTTCTCCAGTAAAACATTAAGAATTTACAGCTTGAGGCAACTTTCCAAGAACATACTATATGAACTGAACTATACTTATATTTGTATTAAATGTATAGGATATCAAATAAATTTTATTTTACATCCTTAATTCTCGTTCTTACAGACAGATTTAATCTTAATGGAATTGTTTTTTCAGTGCTTCTGAAGTACAGATTTTAGGCAGTAATTTTGCTTCTCTACATTTTTGTAGAATGGCATCCACAAATGTACAGTTGATGACATAACAAAGGTTGAGGGGCAAGAGGAGTTCAAAATTTGCTTGCATGGATTGGTGCGTAAAACGGTGGCTAGGGTTTTTAAAGGAATATACACCATTAAAGTAAACAAAGAGACAATTTTCCACAGAAGTCCCCAAAGAATCAAAATATGCAGGCCAATAAGTGTAACACTTTAGCCTTTTATTTTTATCACTTTGAACAAATTATAAAATGGATAGGAAAAGTTTTATCTTGTGTTAGGTTTCTTTGCTTAAAGATTCAGCAGCAAAAATGCAAGTGTTTAGTCCCCGCCCCTCCTCCCCCCACTTTGTATCTTGCTCTGTGGCCAGGCTGAAGTGCAGTGGCACGATCTTGGCTCACTACAACCTCCACCTTCCGGGTTCAAGTGATTCTCCTGCCTCAGCCTCCCTAGTAGCTGGGACTACAGGCGCACGCCACCGCGCCCAGCCAGGTTTTTAGCTTCTAACTAGAAGTATGTTTTACTTCTGTAGTATTTTTACCATTAACATTATATTGTGATGTGTTTAATGTGAAAAATTATAAAACTTACCTCACAATCAGGGCATGTAATTGTAGTGCATTCTTCAGTTATTAACAAGCACAGTTCACATAAAGCATGTCCACACTGAAGTTCATAATGGTGACCTATTGATGAAATTATTATTATTTTGATGATGATTATCAAGACAGTGTCTTGCTTTGTTGTCCAGGCTGGAGTGCAGTGGTGTCATCACAGCTCACTGCAGCCTCCACCTCTTGGGCTCAAGCAATCCTCCTACCTCAGCCTCCCAAAAGTAGCTGGGACTACAGGTGTGTCCCAAAACACCCTAATTTAACAGATGAAATTCTATTGTGATTAAACTGTCCATGGTGTGTTAATGCTAAACGGGTAATACTGATCAAAGGGAAATTCAAAGGGGATCCTGCTGTACAGGAAAAGATACCTACTACAGTTTGAAATGGGTGAATTACTGAATATACATAAGGAGTAACCAACTATTCACTGTCAGGAGGGAGAAAAATCAAGAACAAAAACCAAGCAGAGCTATGTAACAGCATTTGCAGGAACTCAGATAGCTATTTTGTACCTAGAATGTTTTATATTGTATTCATAAATATGCATAAATATTCAATATTGTATTCATATTGTATTCATAAATATATTCATATTTATATTTATGAATCTGCCATATCTTATAATTATACAAAGTGTTCTGACACATTTTATTTGTTCTTTGTAAATATCACAGTTAAGTGGGCTGGAGATAAAATAGCATTTTGGAAACTGGGTTAACTAAATGGTATAATCCACACTCCATTTCTGTTTCCAAGTCTAACATTCTGATTGATCATACTGCCCTCTACTGCTTTATATTTCCCATCCTGTGAAGAGGTCAGGAAGGGCCAAACCTTCCTGGCAAGACCGTGCTCTCAGAATTTACGACACTGGCAAGGCCAGAAGCCAGATGCTATTATTATCACACACCCACAACTCACATAAAGATCATTTTCACAAACAGCATTTACGAAAGGAAATACCATAACTTGATTGAAAACCTAATATGATTTAAATTATCTAAGTAGAATTACAAGTTTATAATAACATTTGTTTTAGCTACATAATTTCAAGGATTTTTAAAGTTTTGCAAGAAAAAAGGAAAAAACTAGATAAAAATCAGTCATCTTTTACTAGCAAAATATTTTACAGAGTTCATGCTGAATTATAATAATTGCATTTATTTTTTTATTCTGAGACGAGTCTCGCTCTGCTGCCCAAGCTGGAGTGCAGTGGCAGCATCTCGACTGACTGCCACCTCTGCCTCCTGGGCTCATAGGATTCTCCTGCCTCAGCCTCCTGAGTAGCTGAGATTACAGGTGCACGCCACCATGCCTAATTTTTTGTATTTTTAGTAGAGAAGGGGTTTCTGTCATGTTGTCCAGGCTGGTCTCGATCTCCGACCTCAAGTGATCCGCCAGGCTCGGCCTCCCAAAGTGCTGGGACTATAGGCATGAGCCACCGTGCCCAGCCTTGCATTAATTTTATTTTTTAAAAAACGTTTACAAGTTTCCGACCTGAAACTTGCTTACAACCACGCGAAATTTTAAAGCCCCATTTAACTTCCAGAGATAAAACTGCCAACAAAGTAACAACACTTAACTGTTCCTATAAAATTTCTGATACTGAATAACTTAATCTGTGGTACATTACAGCTTAAAAAGCACTTTCCAGATTCTAAGCATATAGCCACTACTTTTCCAACTGAGTTTTTCTAAGCATTATAATACAAATGTACGGAAGAATTACTCATTTTAAAAGGTTGTGTTCTAGAACTATTCAGTAATTTTTATTTCATTCAAAAATGGAGACTTTCTACGTAAAGGCAGCAGTGAGGTGAACCCTAAGTAGGAGAAACTTGGTTCTCCACTGAAATCACAGCTTTTTCTGCAAAGGCCCACATCTCAGAGTCCATCTTGACAGGACTGAGAAAACTGATAGAATGGCCTGAATAACTTTGGAAGTATAAACATTAAACGGTTACACCATGTAATACGAATTTTTCAGTAGCTCCAGGAGTTGTGATTCCACAACTCATCTGTATCAGAGCACTCTATTTTAAATTACATTAAAGTAACTTAAACCTGTGATCACTTGAGTAGATTGTAGATGAACAGATCAATAGTAGTGCAGTGTATTTTTCCCTTCACGTATAAAGACCAACACACACACACACACACACACACACACACACACACAAACACAAGGTGCACAAAAGAAACTATCATTTTCCAAACAGTGCTTTAGGTGAATGTGAGCCATAATGTAAAAAAACAAACAAAAAAACCACACAAACAAAAAAATGCTCACATCAACAAAAAATCCAAAACCATTTCACAGTGGTCTGCTTGCTACTCCTACAACAAAAACTACACAAGAAAATCAAGTTTCATTCCTTCTTGATGATGAAACAATGGGCTGCATTTCTACGTCTACTTTTGCACGAACCCGCCAACCTGCCGCGTGAGGGGTAAAGTGACCCGGGCCCCCATCCTCCCAGCTGGAGGGTTGGTGAGGCCTGAGTGCGGAAGTGGAGAAAGCCATGAAAGGGGCGGCTGCGGCTCTAACCAACCCAAGGGCGGCCTTCTTGGGGGTCGTCTGCAGCTCGCAGGAGGCCTGTGACGCCGCTTCCGGGGACACCTAGCTTGGATGCAGCCGACCAGGCCTCACGCGCCCACCAGCTCACCTAGCCCCCAGCCCTCCCTCCAGGCTGCCTCCCCACTAGGTGGGCCCTTGGGCTCCTCACCGGATGCTCTGGACACCCTCCTTCCACACCTGGTGCACGGGATTTCAGCGGCCCCCCAGGGCTGACTCTTCCTCCCCATCCACTGGTAGGAAGACCGGGCAGACGCAGCCTTCGAAGGTTCTGCCGCCATCGCTGTCTCTTTCTTCTGGAACAATCGCAGCGTGCTAGTACCGGCGGCCCTCGCGGCAGCGACCAATCATGGGAGGCCAGCGCCTGCAGCTAGCCAATCAGTGGGTCTGGAAATTAAAGCCCGCCCCTGAGCTCGCCCTTGAGGGGGCTGGGGCTGTTTTCCGTTATCCTGGGCGTTACCACTCCTAGAAGGGGCGCTTTGTGGTCGTTAAGGACCGTTCACTTTTACGTTCTACCCAAAGGGTCACCACTTTAGCACTTTCAGTCATCCCAAATTAAAATGTATTTTAAATATTATTACTTACATTGCGGGTAATTTCGTAAGTAATAATTTGTATTGAAGCAATCCCCTTTTCCTATTATGTGTCAGGACTAGAAGCCCTACACCTGTGTGCTGGAGGCATCCAGGGCTTGGTTAATAGGAGCTGGAGTGGAGAAGCTAATCAGCAGCCGTCACTGGGGGAGATTCAGTGAATGCTTTCAAATTAAGGAGTGCTCACCATTACTGCTGTTGAGCCTAATGATATACAAGGCAGTGTGCCGAGAGTGGTTGGGGATGCTAAGAATTTATAAACGAACAGGTTTCTGCCAGAGAGGTATATAACTCCCTAAAAAAACGGTAATTTCCACCAAGATAGCTAAGTGTTAAGTGCTGGACGTGTGTTAGGGACAATAGGAATTACTGTGGGCTGCCGGGCGCAGTGGCTCACGCCTGTAATCCTAGCACTTTGGGGGGCTGAGGTAAGTGGATCACCTGAGGTCAGGAGTTCGAGACCAGCCTAGCCAATGTGGTAAAATCCTGTCTCTACTAAAAATACAAAAAAATTAGCTGGGCCTGGTGGCGGGCGCCTGTAATCCCAGCTACTTGGGAGGCTGAGGCAGGAGAATCTTGAACCTGGGAGGTGGAGGAGCCGAGATGGCGCCATTGCACTCCACCCTGGGCAACAAGAGCAAACTCTGTCTCAAAAAAAAAAAAAATTACTGCGTTCTGAAGAAATGAAGTCAATATGGTCTACAGTGGTATGAAAAGTCTTCCTAGAGGATACAGGGTTTGCATTAGACCTTACAAGATAGGTAGTACTTACAGGAGTAAACAAGAAATAAGGGATTGCAAGGATAAAGAACACATCAGCGAGGGAAGGGGGATGGAAGACACAGTGGCTTCTTGAGAATTTTAAGGCCATTTAGCCAGAGTACGAGTTTCCTTAAAATAGGTTTATTTGGAGAGGCATGTTAGGGAAGAATTTCGGAGAATCTCGAGTGTCGGGCTGAGGAGTTTGGACTTTACTTTTTTTTTCGAGACGGAGTTTCGCTCTTATTGCCCAGACTGGAGTGCAGTGGCTCACTAGGCTCACTGCAACCTCTGCTTCCCGGGTTCAAGCTATTCTCCTGCCTCAGTTTCCTGAGTAGCTGGGATTTACAGGCATGCGCCACCCCAGCTGGCTAATTTTGAATTTTTAGTAGAGACGGGGTTTCTCCATGTTGGTCAGGCTGGTCTGTAGCTCCCAACCTCAGGTGATCTGCCCCCCTCGGCCTCCCAAAGTGCTGGGATTATAGGTGTGAGACACCGAGCCTGACCTGGACTTTACTCTTTAAGCAGTAGAGTACATGAGATGTTTTGTGAGCAAGGAATGAAGTAATCTGGTAGTAAGGTGGCAGTTGTATTTCAAACAAATCACCTGGATGTGGCAAGGTTGCCTTTTGCTGCTAAGAATAAAAGTCTGGCCATATTCCTCATTTTTTCTCTCTCTCTACAATGTGTGTGGTGAAACAGAAACTGTGACGAATTCTGTTCAAAGGCTCACTTCTGCTCAAAAATATTTGTAATTTGTTGCCTTTAAGAGAAAAGTACTCCCTAAATTATCCCCATTCTAGTGCTAACCCAATAGTTTCTACTACTAATCCTTGATGGAACTCCGAGCACTAACCAAGCGATAATTCTCATGTAACCGATTGACTCTTCTACAGTTTGAGCACTATTCCCTATTCCCCTCATCTGGAATGCTCATTGTTCACTCTTCATTTTTTTTTTTTTTTTTTTTTAAGAAATGGAGTCTCGGCCGGGCGCGGTCCCTTACGCCTGTAATCCAGCACTTTGGGGGGCCGAGGTGGGCAGATCACCTGCAGATCACGAGGTCAGGAGACCGAGACCATCCTGGTCAACATGGTGAAACCCAGTCTCTACTAAAAATACAAAAAAATTAGCTGGGCGTGGTGGCGCGCGCCTGTAGTACTAGCTCTTCTGCAAGCTGAGGCAGGAGAATTGCTTGAGCCGGAGAGGCGGAGGTTGCAGTGAGTTGAGGTCGCTCCACGGCACTCAAGCCTGGCACCTGGCGACAGAGTGAGACTCCGTCTCAAAAAAAAGGAAAAAAAAAAAAAAAAGAAAGAAATGGAGTCTTGCTCTGTTGCCCAGGTTCAAGCAATTCTCCTGCCTCAGCCTCCTGAGTAGCTGGGACTACAGGTGCACTCCGCCACGCCAGGCTAATTTGTTGTATTTTAGCAGAGACAGGGTTTCATCATCCTGGGATTGTCTCAAATTCCTGCGCTCAGGCAATCCGACGGCCTCGGCCGCCCAAAGTGCTAGGATTACAGGCGTGAGCCACCGCACCCGCCCATATTCTCCTTATCCTTCCTGGGTCAGCTTTAGAAGCACTTTCTTCTCAACCTTCACATTTCTCTTCATGCTTGGTGCTACTCTGGCACGTAGCAAGCCTTTTTTTTTCCTCTAGGATAGCTGAATGTAATTTGAATAATGACAATCTCACTGCATGGGATTCATCTTGGGCCATGAAGTGGATATTTAATGTGGCTCTTGAGATTCACCAGAGATGACTTTGGTAATCCCGGAAATTGAATTAATCTTGAATAAATCAGGGCGAGTGAGAAATACACTGATATATGTTTATACCACATTCGTTAGTTTCTTAGCACTTACCAAGAGCCCTCAAATAGAGGAGCCAGTGTTGTCTTCTTAACATGCAATTTGGGTTGTCTGAATCCTTTGTCTGGAACCCTTTAATGGCTTCCTGTGAACTGCAACAAAATGTTAAATGGCCGTGGAGGCTTGCGCTCTGCCTGCTTCTCTACCAGAGTGCCTTTCTAGTGCTCTAAAATCATCTCCTAAACAAATGAGAAATGAGAAAAACTGGACTCCCATCTTGAGTACACAATTTTTATAAATTGCATTGGACCTACAGTAAATGTCTTTTAGAGAGTTTCACTAAAGCTAAAGAGAAATTCAAAGATCAAATGGCAGCAGCAGATCAGAAAAAGAATGTAGAACAAATATGTTATATATCTATATAGGAAAATGTATGTGATTTATAAGTGAAAACAGCATAGTAGTAAATTCTCATGCATATGGCAAAAACTAGAATGTAATTATGTAACTATATAAACTATACATGGGGAAAAAAAGATTGAATAATGCAGTCTATTTTTTTAAGGCAGGGTCTCACTGTGTCACCCGGTCTGGAGTGCAGTGGCACCATCATGGCTCACTGCAGCCTGGACCTCCAGGTCTTAAGCTCTTCTCCTGTCTCAGCCTCCCAAGTAGCTGAGACTCTAGGCACAGGCCACCATACCTGGCTAATTTTATTTTATTTTATTTCTGCAGAGATGGGGGCTCACTATGTTGCCCAGGCCGATCTACCCAGCCTTGGCCTCCCAAAGTGCTGGGACTACAAGCATGAGCCACCATGTCTGCCAGCAATGTTTATTGAATAATACAAATGTGGGTAGGAACAGGGATAACTGTTTTTACTCCAAGCATCATGTAATGTTGTGGTGGGGGATGCATATTTGTCTTCTCAGATGTCTTCTGATTGCTACCACCTTCTTGCATAGCAGAAGTTCCTGAAAGAAAATGAAACAGAGGCACAGAGAGACACAAAAGCAAGAAACAGAGAGGTGCTGCTTGCCTTTCTTTTTTTTTTTTTTGAGACGGAGTTTCACTCATGTT